TGCACATTATTCTTGCATGGTCTTATCTTGGCTACCTTCAGTTTCTCAGCTTCCTGTTATTCTTGGTTGGTGTAAATAGGGAAACGGGTGTCGCTAATGACGTATGATACTCTATACTTGGTTGATGTTAGAGACGTTGCCGATGCACTACTTCTCGTCTATGAGAAGCCAGAGGCCAGTGGAAGATATATATGCAGTTCTTACTGCATAGAGACGTGTGATTTCCTTGGCAAATTGAAGAGCATGTATCCACATTTTCCTTACCCAGATTGGTATGCTTTTCATTCTCTGGTGATATGGAATGTAATTCTATATGCATGCATATCATAAGATGGTTTTATTTCCTTACCTTCATGATATGTGGGTTTTTCTAATTTCAGTCCTTATGAGGCAAAGCCATATCATCAGCTGAGCTCAGAGAAGCTAAAGCAGTTGGGTTGGACTTACATGACGATAGAAGAATCCATTAGAGATAATGTGGAAGATTTCCTGGAGAAAAGCCTGCTGGATGTGAATTGAAGACGTGTATGACAACTCTCGTGCTCGCACATTCTTGCCCAAGACAACAGTTATGCTTGAAGCTGAAAAGCACTGGACTGGCCATCTCACCATGGTAGGTAGAACAAAGGATGGACAAGATCATGATGTTAATCTGCTGGACTGAAGAAACCCTAAAATAAAATTTTGCGTAGTTGTTTGGTGCATGCCTATGTCAAAAAGACAAGGATGATGAATCTTGGATTGTGAATAATGAGATGTTATTGTCAAGTTGTATAATATTTCACTCTAGTTCAGCCTGAGCCTACTACCTTAAAAAATAGAAGTAAAATATGATGAAAATAAAATGTTTATAGGAAGTTTTTGTGCAACGAATATTAACATCTACTTTCATGAATTAACCATTGTGCCATTACCAGAAGGCTGATCATGCTTATGTAATAGGATATGTGCGTGTGGATGTTTTTTAATTCTATGAAGGCCTTCAATTTCATTCTCTAATTAGTGAGTTCTTACCCAAATTATATGTGAGCATTCTTTCATTGTTCTTGTTCTTGTTTCTGAGAATAGAAGAGGAATTAGTTGGCGTCATGTTGATCTGTTATATGGGTATGAAACGCAAGGACTGACTTAGAACATGGTCATGATCGGTGTGGGGCTCATAAGCTGTACCTAGTCCTGGGTAGAGCCAAATTAGGATCTAGACATCAATTTCGCACATATATGATGAGTTGAAAAAATTATCAACCAGGGGACTATGGTTTGTGGAATTTGAGCTAGATATACCACTTTCACATCAAATATTCACACTCCCTCAAAATTCTGCACTTCATCTGTAGACTATCATCTTATTAAGACCTAGAAAATAATCTGAAATATTCACGAAGTAAGATGATATCACACTATTTCTGCACTTCTATCCTACGGTAGATTAGGATTCCCCAAGGGGTCGGTTTCTTACATTTATACTATACGTAATGAGAGCATTCACTTGGTGTTTACGACAGAAAACAGTGAGGAAACGATAAGGAATCGTGAGCGTCGTGAGATAGTGAGGAGAGGAAAGCGAAGGGGGGAGGTCGGCGCTGGGGAATGGCAGGGGAGAGGAGGGTCTGTGTGACCGGCACGGGGGGCTTCGCCGGCTCATGGCTTGTGAAGCTTCTCCTCTCCAAGGGGTTCGTCGTCCACGGAACAGTCCGAGACCCAAGTATGGAATCCTCTATAACCAAACCCCCCCCTCAACATCTCGACGACTCCATCTCTTCCTTCTCTGCGTTCTTGCCGCCTGTCCGGTTCTCGTTGGATCTTTCTCGGAGCTCTCCCTTGCGTACCTCTGAAAATTTTGAAAGCTCGCAGTTAGGAGGATCTGCGCTAGATTATAATTTGTCCCCACCATTTTATCCGCAAACAGAGCTTTTGGGTCGACTGATTCTAGTCTTTTTGGAGATGATCACTGTTTTTTCCTACATGGGGAAGGGTGTGGTTCTTGCGTTGTAGTAACTAGAGATGAAACCAGTTTACCAGTATCCAATCATTTATTTACGTATTTTCATCTCAAAACCATTATTTCACTGGCTCATAATTCCATAACTGTGAACTTTTTTTCTCTGGCCTTTACCGGTTCCCTAGACAAAAGTTTTTCCTTAAGACCGGCTGGCTTCCAGATTTCTCCTCTATTCTTCTAAAATTTTAGTACAACTTATGAAGTCTGTTATGGGAAATCTTCTTGATGGATGAATGATAGGATTCATCCCCCCTGATGCTGGGTTTTAAGGATTTTTTATGTCGTGTAATGATTTTTTTTCTTTGTTTCGCAGATCCTTAGTTGGGTTCTAGTTTTTCTCGTGTTCAATGTCATTGCGCAGATAAAAGCTGTATTGAAGGATCTGGTCATCATCTTATCCGGAAATCAACGTGCACTTCTTGTTCATCTCGTCAGCTCTGTGCGGAGGACTAAACTTTGAAGAATCCTCTAAATTCTTTTCCAGGCGATGCAAAGAATGACCATTTAAATAGATTGGAGAATGCAGAAAATCTGAAACTTTTCAAAGCGGACTTGCTTGATTATGATTCTTTGTCTTCTGCCATTGCTGGATGTGAAGGCGTCTTTCATACAGCGTGCCTGATTCCTTCTGCAAAAGTGCTGAAACCCGAAGGAACATTGCTGCGGAGATACCATTGATCAGTTGTACAGTACTTCATTGTACCGTCCAGTCTCAGAATTGTGAAAATTCTAGTTATTGAACACTTTTTAGGAGGTGTGCTGGGAGAGGATAGCACCTTTCTTGAACAGTATTTTCCTGTTTTTCAATTTTTCATATATTCCCCTTGTTCGGGATCTTTCACTCGTATATCTGCATTGTAGTATCAGCGGAGAAAGACCTCAAGTGCATCTCATTGATTATGAGTAGACTTTTCTTCGAGTGGCCAAAACAACGGACATTCATACCCTCCCTGTCGTTGCAGCCATTATTCGATGGTCTCTCTATCAGCTTGAACTTGAAATCGGCTTTCTTCAGGATGCCATTTTAAAGGAAGTCGACACACTGCATCCTTTTCATCTTTTTACACTGTTATGTCATGTTGTCTTGCTTCTCTTCATTCCCTTTTTAAAAAAAAAAATGGCAAGAAGAAAATAAAATAAGAGTTATTCATTATATAGTAAATAGAAAAATAAAAAAACGCTAAATATTATGTAATACACTCTCAGCAATGGTACCAAAATTTGACTTGACTTAGTCATTGTATAGTAAATCATGTAATTTTAAAATTTATAAAATTAAAAAATATGAATTTTCAAATATTTAGAAGTATTTTGAAACAAATATATTAATTATAATTCAATAAAACTTCCAAAAATAGCGATAATTTTCCAAGTTGATCACAAGAATGTAATATAATATCAAAAAATTATTGAGAATTTTTCTCAAAGAATACTATTTTCTCTGAATTTTATATTAAGAAATAAAAATTAATTATATTTAAAATTCACGAAAAAGGAAAATAAGGATGTAGACGTCAGGATGATGTTAGTGTCTGGAAAACGTGAATCAAACAGAAATAGAGTTTTGTTCAATGATTTTTACGTAAGCAATTATAGATTATTTAATTGATCAATTTAAGATATATAAAAGCTAGAAGAATTGTAATTAAATGAAGTATATCTTAGTAAATTTAAATCACATAAATTATCATTAAGTGAAGTGAAAATTAAGTTGAAAATAAGAAAATAGAGTTTCGGCGTCATGGCAGTGATGTGTCGATGATGTACTAGAATCTTGAGTATTTGAGAGGATTGTCGTGTAGTGTCCATAGTCTTGAAAGCTTTCCTTAGATAAAGATGACATGGGTAATCTCTAGATCTCTTTGCAAAGTTTAGAGATTAATGAAATAAGTCGTCGAATCGTCTCCAGTAGTTGTCACCCGGCGGAATAGAAAAATAATGATTTTACGGCTTTCTAGCAGTTGTCATCTGACGAAGAAGAATTAGATGGAGGTGGGGCACGTGTCAAAAAGCTTCATCCTTAGGTTCGTGTAGAAAAAGGAAGCTTTTCATTACATCCAATATATTCTCAAGAGGTGACGACTTTTTCTCGACGAATCGACCTCTTATAGACGACGGCTTATTCATCAATCAATTGAAGATGCTTTACTTGTAAGATAATGATTTTTAGTAACAATGACTTATGAATCACATTGATGAGATTTTTACTGATAAAATAATAATTATGACAGCTTAATCATTCACTGATGATTTGTAGAAAAGTTGTGATAATCAAATAAAAAATATGAGTTTTGGCTCTTGAAAGATTTGAACCCACGTCAATTGCCTACTTCTATGAGAGAGATTGATATAAGTACTCTAATACCTTTATCAAATAACGTCATCATAATTTTAAGTATTAAAATCATCGACCCCTTTTTAAGGAAAGTGTGACATAAGTTTAGTCTCACATCACTTGTACATCAAAGTTTTAAGTGAATAAATAATAGTATTATATTTACAAGTAAGTTTCTTTTTCGTATGTATACGACCACTCCTTACCTCACAACTGATGACATAGAAAGAGAGTGGTTCACACGTGTCCCTTTCTATCTTAGTCACTCGAGCCCTTACTGTGCTTCTGACTCACTTGTGAGCCCGATTGGTTGGTGGGTCTCCCCCATTTTCTTATATTTATATTTTTATTTCTTTATTTATCTCAAAAGTAAGATAGTAAAAATTAAATAAATTCATATAAAATCATATAATTACCAAAAGATTCACATTAATCAACTCAAAATTAATTTTCACACTTTAATATAAATATAAGTCTATATATTATAACTTAAGACTAAAACTATAATATTTACTAATTATTAACTCATGATAATAAAGACTTATCAATCAAGACCCATCCAAACAAGTATTTAATAAGTGAAAATATGAAAATAAATGATTCTATTTATGACAATAAAAATCCAGAGGATAAGTTCTCCCCCAACCCCAATGCGCCGGAGGAATGGCGGAGGAGAGAAGGGTTTGTGTGACTGGGGCGGGAGGCTTCGTCGCCTCATGGCTGGTGAAGCTGCTCCTCTCCAAGGGGTTCGTCGTCCACGGCACAGTGAGAGATCCAAGTACGGAGGACTCTCTATTCCCCCACCCAGGCCCATACCGTGTTATTGGGCATCGTGTGGTTTTCTTGCTGATTTTCGTTTGGACTCTATTTACCCCTGTCCGCTTCTTTCTCCTACGAAATGGGGATTTTCAGTGAAGCTTCGAAGTGTATATTTTCGGATGTCTTGGGATTATGCCAGCATGATTTTCACTTGTCGACCCTAGATTCCTCAGAGATCCGTCTACTGATTTCAGTTGATCCGAAGAATGTCCACTTGAAGAGATTGGAGAACGCGGCGAACCTGAAACTTTTCAAGGCAGACTTGCTTGATTATGAATCTTTGTCCGCTGCCATTGCTGGATGCGAGGGAGTTTTCCATGCAGCATGCCCAGTTCCTTTGGGGAAGACTCTTGACCCCGAGGCAAGATTGCTAGTCGTAGATTGTTCTGTCGGTTTTAGGGCGCTCTCTTTTACCGTCCGATGGTACAAAGTCCTAAAGACATTTATTTCTTTTTCACGAGGGAAATGTATGAACTATAGCGATATTTAGCTGATCGTGACAGCAAAATTTTCATTTTTGAGAAACTTTCTATGCATGCGAACCTGTTCTAGTGAGCATTATGGCGATCCCCATACGCTGATCAAACAACGGATGGGGCCTTAAGTGCATCTCATTGATTATGAGTAGACTTTTCTTTGAGTGGCCAAAACAACGGACATTCATACCCTCCCTGTCGTTGCAGCCATTATTCGATGACCTCTCTATCAGCTTGAACTTGAAATTGGCTTTCTTCAGGATGCCATTTTAAAGGAAGTCGACACACTGCATCCTTTTCACCTTTTTACACTGTTATGTCATGTTGTCTTTGCAAATCCATACTGCAGACTCCAATGAGCTTCTTGTGGCCCATTCGAGCGGTTTGGTTAGGTCATTCTTGATGCCAGATTCTACAAGAGAGCTGAAGATAGTGCTCTCTTTACTCGCAACTCTTGTAATATCTACGCCTTTTTTCTCTATGCCAACATTACGCCATCACTGGCAGTGAAGCTGTCGCCGTCGCCTCTTTCAAGCAGCATCTCCATGATCCATTTCAGACGATAGTCCCTAGGATTTTATGCAACTTCCTTGATCTTAAGGTTGGTTATTCTACTCGAGATTACTCATTGTCTCAAAAGAAGTATAACGATAACATCCAAAGATTTTTGATTCTCACATGGCAGACACTCCTCTGGAGCTTCACATCAAGTGCCGTCCTTCTGATGGCATAACCTTTAATGATCTTATGAGCTATCCTCGAATTGTTGGCTCACTTCTATATTTGGCTCTCTCTCATTTAAACACTGCTGATGTTTTCCATATCTTGAATCAGTTTATTATCATTCTTTACATAGTTCATTTTTTTGCCCCTGGCTGTTTTCTTCAAAACCTATGTTGAATCCTTCATTTCCTCCTATGTGTCCCCCATTGTGCCTTTAGAGCTTTTTACTTCAACCAAAGCTGATTGAACTTGTGACCATGGTTAGTATTCTTCTCTATGGACTCCTACATCTTTCTCATCTTCTCTCTCATCTCTTAAAAGAGCAAGAAGCAAGTTCTGGTTTCTCATTCCAACACTGAATCCTAGTGCACCACCCAACGGCTGATGCATCTGCTTAGATAAGTTGGCTGCATCTCCTTCTTTGAGATATGGGTGCAGTTCTTCTGCTCCTACCAGCTGGTAAAGTTTTAGATGCACGAGTTGTTAATGACCATATTTTTTTATCCTTTTGTCGCTTAAGTTATTTAAATTCAAACAAAGGTTAAAGTCAAAAGCCATTTTTATCACCCTTAATTTTTTTTATCTTTTCCACCTAAATTTAGTAATGAGCCCATTTATCCAGCTCCTAATTTTTCTAAATGGTTGACATTAGAGTGTGGTTCAAGGTCAAAACCAATAGGGCCCTAATCCCTATCATGAATGTTTCTCGTAGATGATTCCCATTGATGACTAAGAGATTGAGAGCCTGCCCTGATAATTCATTTATGAAATCCTTATTCCAGTGACTAAATTGGGCAAAGGACTCACTTAATTGACCCCTTCTGCATTATTTATACAATTGCAGGTTGAAATGGTTGCTCCTGCTCTGAGTGGAACACTGAACGTGCTCAAAGCATGTTCTGAGGCAAAGGTCAGACGAGTTGTCGTGGTCTCATCTGTTATGGCTGCTTCTGAGGACCCAGATGCCCCACCGGGTAAGATAACAGATGAGAGCAATTGGTCTAGCAAGGAATACTACAAGACAACTGAGGTAAGTTATCACTCAATTCTGAATGTAGTCTGTGTGCTCAGCAGCTCGCTTCATTCCCAAACTGTAGTACCATGGCGCTTATTTCTACGCCGTCATCTCTAGGTAGACTTTGTTGACTCATAGATTGAGACATTTAGAGGGAGAATGGGTAACTGCTTGTTGTTTGATCTGGGCTTTGCCTCCGTCGGGTGCTGATTTGGGGCCAAGGCTCATGGTTTTTGTCCAGTACCCTATTCTGAAATATTGACAGTTGTGTCAAAATCGTTGTTTGGGAGGACCATAAATATCTCGAAATATGTGCATAACAAATGGCGATATATGTGCTGAAATTCTTAGAAAAAATACATTTTTTCCTTTCAAAAGTAACCGAGTTGATCATTTTTATTTCCTGCAGAACTGGTATTTCTATTCCAAGACGCTGTCAGAACAGAAGGCTCTTGAGTTTTCCAAGGAGAATGGACTTGATGTGGTAACAATTTGCCCATCTTTGATCATCGGCCCAATGCTTCAGCCAACAGTCAACGCAAGCAGCATGTATATCATCAAGACACTGAAAGGTTCACCTCACACTGAAGCTCTCGCCTCTTTACTCACGCATATGGCTCTTGATTATTCTACAAATTAAGTGCTTTATTCAGATATATTAAATTAAACACTTGAAAATGCCCAGACGACTCAAGAGGGTGTTAAATCGGTCAAAGGGTTGGTAATTTTTTGCCTAATTTACCATTTACTGTTGATAATCCCCCTCCCCCCCTCCCCCTCTCCCCTTCTTGGGAGGTTTGCCAAAGTTCTCAGCTGTATGGGAACCCTCAACACCTAAATCAATTCAACAACAGGGGAACGAGAAACGATGATGAACCGGATGGAGGCCATTATCGATGTCAGGGACCTTGCCGATGCACTGTTTCTGATCTACGAGAAGCCAGAAGCTAGGGGAAGATACATATGCTCTTCCTATTCAATAAAAGCGAAAGATTTGGTCAACAAGCTGAAGAGCATGTATCCTAATTTTAAGTATCCCGAGAGGTAAGTTCTTCCAACACTTTGTAAGCTTAAAGTTAGAAGAAAAAAATGGCAGTGGCTTCTTATTTTCCTTCCTCCCATTAATCCAGATGCTCCCGATTGCAGTTTCACTGAGGTGGAGAAAGATCTCAACGTCAGCTCAGAGAAGCTGAAGCAGCTGGGTTGGGCCCACAGGACGTTAGAAGAGACCATTGCCGATACTGTTGAGCACTTGTTGAAGAGTGGTCTCGTCGATGTGAATTAGAAGACAGTGGTCACTAACCGATTGTGACCTATAGAATGAAGTTCCTATTCCCATAGTAATTTACCAGTTGATGTGTCCAATGGCATCTGTACTCCCTGAGGAACTGTCTCTTGGATCTAAGTTGGACGAGGTAATAATATGATTGCTCCTCTCCTACATATCCACCGGAGAAGAGATCATTAGCCTGAATAATGATTTCTGGAACTGGGTTTCTATTCCAAAAGCAATTTTTGAGTTGTTGGGTCTCATGGCTTCTGTACTCTCTGGGGCCGATTGTGGTCGGAGGTTAATGGCAGTCAAGAGCTTTATGCACCGTTAACAAAGCCTGTGGGTTTCTGTTGTCAGTTTCTTTTAAATCATAGAGAGTGAGGCTAACTACAGTTGAGAGTGATCACATCTCTGCGGGGTAATCACATCTACAGTTATCACACTAAACAAGTTGAGAGTGAGGCTAACTACAAGAAATTTACTTTCATTTAGCAACTATTGCCAACAATAGTATGCTAAGTAAACTTTAACTTTGGATGTTATTCACACATATCTAAACTAGGATTTGTATCAATCTTAGTTTTAGTGGGCATAGGTTGAAGAAAATGAGTGGAAGGAGAAGGGGCTAGCAGCCAACCATGAGTCTCAGGCCAAGGCAATGGGGAACCAGCGATTGAAGGTTAGAGAGAGAGAGAGAACGAGAGAGGTGAAATTTTTACCTTGCACATGATATGGTGCAAATAAGAGAATTCCTTTTGTCACCCATTTAGCAAGAATAATATGGGTATATGTAATTGGGTTTGTTTATTCATAAAATAATATATTTTATCATGTATCACACTGTAAACATTAATAGAAATTAAATTCATCCTATAGTTGAGGGATTAAAAGGAAATTAAAGAATTTCTGATCATCACAAATTAGGATAATATCATCTTACTTCATAAATAGTTTCTTTTCTAGGTCTTAATAAGATGGTAGTCTACAGATCTAATGCTAAATTTAAACGAGTAGGTATGAATGTTTGGTATGAAAGCTGCAAATCTAGCTCATACTGCAGGAATAATTGTCCTTGGGTTGAGACTTTGTTCAAATCATAACATGTGGAAAGTTGATGTTCTGGTCCTAATTTGGAACTCCCAAAGACTAGACAAAGCTTATGATCCCCATTCTCGTCATGACCCTAAGGACAATGTTCTAAGTTGGTCCTTACATTTCATAAAGACAAGATGAAATAAGAAAAAGTATGATGAATGAATACTCACATATAATCAGGTAAGAACACATCAGTTAGACAATGAAATTGAATGCCTTTATAGAACGAAAAAACATGCACACATAAACTGTGTTAAAAAGTACAGCATATAACTAGGCACGGTCAGCCTGCTTAATAATAAATAGTTGGCTCATAAAAATAGATGTTAATATTCGTGGCTGAAAAACTTTCTATTAACATTTTATTTTCATGATATTTTACTTCTATTTTTTAAGGTAGTAGGCTCAGGCTGAACTAGAGTGAAATATTATACAACTTGACAATAACATCTCATTATTCACAATCCAAGATTCATCATCCTTGTCTTCTTGACATAAGCATGCACCAAACAACTGCGCAAAATTTTATTTTAGGGTTTCTTCAGTCCAGCAGATTAACATCATGATCTTGTCCATCCTTTGTTCTACCTACCATGGTGAGATGGCCAGTCCAGTGCTTTTCAGCTTCAAGCATAACTGTTGTCTTGGGCAAGAATGTGCGAGCACGAGAGTTGTCATACACGTCTTCAATTCACATCCAGCAGGCTTTTCTCCAGGAAATCTTCCACATTATCTCTAATGGATTCTTCTATCGTCATGTAAGTCCAACCCAACTGCTTTAGCTTCTCTGAGCTCAGCTGATGATATGGCTTTGCCTCATAAGGACTGAAATTAGAAAAACCCACATATCATGAAGGTAAGGAAATAAAACCATCTTATGATATGCATGCATATAGAATTACATTCCATATCACCAGAGAATGAAAAGCATACCAATCTGGGTAAGGAAAATGTGGATACATGCTCTTCAATTTGCCAAGGAAATCACACGTCTCTATGCAGTAAGAACTGCATATATATCTTCCACTGGCCTCTGGCTTCTCATAGACGAGAAGTAGTGCATCGGCAACGTCTCTAACATCAACCAAGTATAGAATATGATACGTCAATACCGACACCCGTTTCCCTATTTACACCAACCAAGAATAACAGGAAGCTGAGAAACTGAAGGTAGCCAAGATAAGACCATACAAGAATAATGTGCAGCGTATGTGCATAGGCTCAATGCAGAGTATGAGTCTAACCTATGATAAAATACAACATGAAACCATCTCCCTAGACATGAATTAATGAGCATATCGTAAAACACTTTCCCCTGTTCGAATGAATTGATTATCTGACAGTTCTTCCATTATGCCTCCAGTAGTAATGACTATAATGACATTGAATTGAATTCAAACAGAAAATATCATTCTCTATTCATCTAAAAAAGCTAAGCATTCACAATAAAATCCAGGTACCAAAACCAAGAAGATGATAATTGACAGCTTCAGTATAGGGAATACCTTTCAAAAAGTTAATGAGACACTTGCTACTTGTATTTACTGTTGGTTGGAGTATTGGACCGAATATCACAGGTGGGCAAACCACTACAACATCAAGTCCGCTTGACTTGGAATACTCAAGAGCCTTTTCTTCTGCTACTGTCTTGGCAAATTCATACCACATCTGCACCAGATAGATGAAAATGAACAGCAATTGTGGCATGACAAAAAACTACAGAATGTAAGTCAATGAAGAGTTGCGTTCATTATTATTCAAAGCTTCCATAAAAGAGTAATTTTTCGGTGAAAAGGAGGAAAAAGTTTTAGGCTCTTTAAATTATTACTATTTTTCAGGATTGTTTTTGTACTGAAACAAAGCACAATGCTACAGACTGTAATTAAAGTAGACTGCCCAATTGCCAAGCTTAGTAATCTACACTCATAATAACGTAGTTGAGAATGGATGACGTTAGGTAATATATAGTTCTTAGCAGCCAAAATCACCCGAATATTCTCATCATAGATGATCGAAAGGCAAGTAATCAACCCACTTCACAATTTCAATAAACCAGGCAGGTGCACAGCGTGTTACCTCAGTTTCCCTGCAGAATTTCTTGTCTGACCAACAATTCTCGTCCACTATCTTATCGAACGGCCAATTGGGGTTCCAAAGCACAGCAGAAACAGATGAAACCAGAACAAGCCGCCTAACGTTTGCCTCAGAGCATGCTTTGAGAACATTGAGCGTTCCATCAACTGCAGGGCGAACCATATCTGCCTGCAACAACATGACCAGAGGAGAAAAGGTCCCCAATGAATTTTATTGTTGTTTGACATCGTCACTAGCTGAAGTAGTGGGTCAGTTTGGACACAGCTTAATTAAGGTAACCTAACTGGGAATTATGAGGTATAAAGGCCGTTTCTTTAGGTATCCATGGGAATAGCCTACAAGGAAAATATCAACATCGACATAAGTCCTACAGATGCTCTGACCTGATCAATCATCCATTGTAGACCTATGGAGCATAAACAAGCTGATTATTAAACATTGTGCGAATAGGTAAAACTGAAGAGGAAGAAAGATCTCATTCAAAAAAAAAAATGGTATTCACCATGTTAACTGGCATCCGATAAACAAATGGCGACATGAAAGGAGAGCCCAGCAAAAAAGAAAAACGTTTTAGACTTTTTCAAAAGAGAATGTTTGATCAGCGTATGGGGATCGCCATAATGCTCACTAGAACAGGTTCGCATGCATAGAAAGTTTCTCAAAATGAAAATTTTGCTGTCACGATCAGCTAAATATCGCTATAGTTCATACATTTCCCTCGTGAAAAAGAAATAAATGTCTTTAGGACTTTGTACCATCGGACGGTAAAAGAGAGCGCCCTAAAACCGACAGAACAATCTACGACTAGCAATCTTACCTCGGGGTCAAGAATGTTTCCCAAAGGAACTGGGCATGCTGCATGGAAAACTCCCTCGCATCCAGCAATGGCAGCGGACAAAGATTCATAATCAAGCAAGTCTGCCTTGAAAAGTTTCAGGTTCGCCGCGTTCTCCAATCTCTTCAAGTGGACATTCTTCGGATCAACTGAAATCAGTAGTTGGATCTCAGAGGAATCTAGGGTCGACAAGTGAAAATCATGCTGGCATAATCCCAAGACATCCGAAAATATACACTTCGAAGCTTCACTGAAAATCCCCATTTCGTAGGAGAAAGAAGCGGACAGGGGTAAATAGAGTCCAAACGAAAATCGGCAAGAAAACCACACGATGCCCAGTAACACGGTATGGGCCTGGGTGGGGGAATAGAGAGTCCTCCGTACTTGGATCTCTCACTGTGCCGTGGACGACGAACCCCTTGGAGAGGAGCAGCTTCACCAGCCATGAGGCGACGAAACCTCCCGCCCCAGTCACACAAACCCTTCTCTCCTCCGCCATTCCTCGGGCGCATTGGGGTTGGGGGAGAACTTATCCTCTGTATGGATTTTTATTGTCATAAATAGAATCATTTATTTTCATATTTTGCTGTTCGTTTGACGGAACCTAACAAATTAATTAAATTTTTTGTTCTTATCCAATGATGAGTGCTTTTATTTCCACTTGTTAAATACTTGTTTGGATGGGTCGTATATTGACAGAACATTATGTTAAAAAATTTACATGTTTGAACTTCAAATTCCATCAACCTTTGCGGTTTGTTCGGTTCAAACACTTTCCGTGATTGACTTTTCACTTGTTTTATTTAATTTTTATAGTATCTTACATTTGTACATATTAAAATAAATTAAATAATAGAAATATAAAATTTGAAAATTACCATTTATTGACATCTCATGAATGCATATCACAAATTGGTATTATTAACAGAAATCTACTGGGTTCATCACATTATTAAATAACAACAACTTGTAAAATAAAATTTTAACTTTAGGCAATATCAATGAGTAACATAATTAGTGCCATGTAGTATGAATTTTCTCCACTACCCATAGATGAAATGGTGAAGGGGACACTCGCCAAGACCTATAGTTGGAAAGAGAGGGGGGTTGTAGGGTGTAAGACTGGGCAATAGCTTGGTGACAAGAGAAGGGGAAGAGTTATATCAAAGGGAGAGTGTTGTTAGGAGGGCTATGGGGGAATGAGAATAGGGAAAGGGCTCGGAGCTAGGAGTGGGTTGGGGGGTGACAATTGGATGGGGAAGGGGCAAATGTTCTGTGTGAAGGTGGTGGTAGCTTTGAATGGTTATAGTTGTCTTAAAAAAATTTAAGGAAAATTGAGGGTTTCTTAAGTCAACTCGCATTATATGATAAAGCTCATGGGATTAAAATAAATATATGGAAAGAACCATTAAAGCACCTTTTTTGGCAAGAAAATTTCATATTATCTTAGAGCATTTATGCAAGAAAACTTTGTACTTTGTCCTCGAAGCTTTCATACTCAAGATGGTAGTTCAAATGCTCAGAAAAACGTTTTATACGCATGGATATATTTCTTTACATCTAACAGTGCGAGATGGCAAAGATTCATAAGCAAGAAATCGTTGGTCAACGTCTACTCACAGTTATCCATACATAATCTTGCGAAATCAAAACTTTCATAAAAGCCCAAAAAAATCCCGAATTGAACTTAACACTTCGACAAATATATCAGATTTGAACCACGCCCTACAAAGTGTGGATCAAGAACAGCGGCATTGACACAGAGAAGGAAAGAGTTAGGGCAGAGGACTAGAAGGGGCGTTCTACTCGGGTCTTTCACTGTGCCGTAGGCAATGAGAGAAGCAGGTTCACCCGTCATGAGGCAACGAGGCCTCCTGCCCCAGTCAAACATACCCTTTTCTCGTTCTCCATTCCCAGGGCCATGTCCTCCCCCCCCTCCACCTTCCTCCCTCAGTGGCTCTGCGAGATTTTAGATATTCCCCCTTTCTTATCTACCAATCACTGCAGTTATTTCGTTCGAACCTGAAGGTGTTTTTGTCGGCACATTTTTCTATCATGTTTATTACATTTTTTTCCATTGTAGCGTAAACGGAGAGGTGGATCGTATATTAATGAGGATTGCCTACACATTCCATCTCAACCTTCCTCGTTTAATGAGGAATTACAAGCAGAAGACAGCCGTACATTGACTAGAGGATTCTAAGAAAACTAACGACTTGTGGATATGTATAGGGATATCTCAATTAATTTATTAAAAACTTACCAATCTGGGTACTGCATGTTTGGATACAAGCTCTTACATTTGTCAGACAAATACACGTTCTTAACCACATGAGAGAAACGTATGTATCTACCACTTGCCTTTGGCTTCTCATAGATATGAAGTGCTACATCAGCTACATCCCTAACATCAACCAAGTACAATGCATGGCAGTCCGTTAACAGCAGTCATGTCCCTATTGATGCAAACAAGGCGCCATTAGAACCCATAAAACTCTAAATAACAAAAAAAATGATCCTAAGAGCTTTTTTGTGACATAGATGGGTTCAGGACAAATTCAATTCTCACCATTGTTAAAATACTCTTGAGAAAATTTACTCAAAATTAAATAGAGGATGGAGATAATATGCCTAAATTTATTCTCAGATTTAATCAATTTCTAATCTACTTGAATATGAGTGCTTATCGACCATAGTTAGCATAATGACCTAACTTGTGTAAATTACTTCAAGGATGGAGGAATTTGGGCCGAAGAAAATCTCAACAGTAAATGAAATGTTCTAAGAGACTCACAATGTGCGACTCAAGGACCATGAACCCTATTTATAGACAAGAGGTGGTTAACCTCTTGGTGTCTTTTTCTAATTTAGCCCATCATAAAATTAGAATAAGATCTGATTTCTACACATATTTATATTTATGTCTATACTTACAAGAGAGGCTATAATCCTAAATACTTAAACTCTAATGAATCACTTTAAGTGGAATTAATTCAATGATAGCATCATAATATACAATTCATATGTATAACTATCCATATTGAGATTAATTACAACAATCTCTCACTTGGACAAAATATATATGATAACTTAATATTATACATTATGACCTTATGAGCTCAAAATTTTTGCTATCATTACCAAAGACATCTCTAACAATCTCGTCCATCATTATATCAATATAAAACTAAAGGAGTTTTCGTTCATATTTTTCACATGGCTGAACCCACAATAATCACATATATCGTTATAATGAACGACATAGATCAAGTACGGATGTGTAGCATGGAAATTACATAAAGTGTGACTCATACATGTACATTTCCAACTTAATCCTCTTTATTCCAAATGGAGATCAAATAACCACATTTAGAGTGAAAATAATCATAAATTTTATTCATACATGAAATAGCCAAAGTATATGTCTATAACTATATCAAAATCAAAATACAAACTCTCACTAAAATTACATATCCTCATGAGGTATTACACCCATATGAGCAACATACTCATGAAAGAGCTTTGGTGACAATCCCTTAGTAAGGGAATTTACTACCATATAATTTGTCCCAATATGCTTAATAGACATCTAATCACTCTGAACTCTTTAATTGATGATAAATATTTATTATCATTTGTTATTAATTAATAAATAATATAGTTTTAGACTTAACTCATAATAAATAGACTTATAATTATGTTAATTTATGAAAAATGATTTTTATTTGATTAATGTAATTTTTTGGCTAATTATGTGATTTTATACTAATTTATTTTATTTTTATAATCTTATTTTTGAGATAAATGAAGAAAGAGAAAATAGAAAAATGGGGAATCTACTAGCCAACCAAGACCACAAGCAAGTCGGAAGCATAGTTGGGGTGAAGCTACAAGTAGGAGCTCAAGCAGCTATGGACCAATGAGGGCACATGAGTGTCACTCCCCTTCCACACCACTAGTGACCAACTGGTTGTGGGGTAAAGAGTGGTCATACATGTGAGAAAGGGACTCATTGCTTCTAAATCTAATAGTACTATATATTCACTCAAAATTTCAGTAGACAACTGATGTGGGACTAAATCGATGATCACACCTTCTTTGAAATAGTTTGATTATTTAAATACTTAACATATCTCTTAATTATAACAAAGATATACTATGATGACATCACTTTATAAGAATATTTGCGTACTTATTTTTATCTCTCTCATATAGACAGGCGACCGATGTGGGTTTGAATCTTACTAGAGTCAAAACTCGTATTTTTATCTAATTAAATCGTAACTTTCTTGCAAATCACCAGTAAAAGATTAAGCCGTTAGAGTTACTCGATCATTGACGAAAAACTCGTCGACGCAATTTATAAAATATTATTACTAAAATTATTGAACAAATCACGATAGAAAGATCGTGAATCCATCAAGTATCTTCAATTGATCAATGAACAAGCTATCATTAGGAAGAGGACGATTCGTCGAGAGATGAGTCTCTACCTCTTGAGAGTGTACCAGATGTGATGAAAAACCTCCTCTTGTTGTGCAGAACCTAAGATGAAGCTATTTGACATGTACCTCACTTCTATCCAACTCCTCTTTGTAAGGTAATAGTTGCCGGAGAGCTGCAAAGTTACCATTTTTCTACTTTACCGAGTGACAAATGTCGAAGATGATTTAAGTACTCATTTTGTTGTTCCCTAAATTTCACAAAAAAATATAGAGATTATTCATGTCATCTTTGTTTAAGAAAAGCCTTCAAGGCCGTGGACACTACACAAAAATCCTTCCGAACACTTAGAATTTTAATACATCACCGACACATCACGACTATGATGTCGAAACTCTATTTTCATGCGTTTAACTTAATTTTCACTTTATTACCAAACTATTCTTCATTTAATTACAACTCTTTCAGTTCTTACATATCTTAATTTGATTTATTAAATTCTCTATAATTACTTATATAAATAATCACTAGTGAAACTCTATTTTTGCTCAATTCACGTTTGTCAGGCACTAACGTCATCCTGATGTCTGTAACCTAATTTTCTTTTTTCATAAATTTTAAATATATTTTATTTTTATTTTTTAATCTAAAATTCATAAAAAAATCTTATTCTTTGAGGAAAATTCTAAAAAATTACTCAATATTATATTATATTTCTATGATCAACCTAGAAAATTCTTACTATTTTTGAAACTTTTATTAAATTATAATTGGTATATTTATTCAAAAATACTTCTAAATATCTAAAAATTGGTATTTTTTAATTTAATAATTTTTCAATTTTTATTATTTACTATACAACAACTAAGTCACATCACTTAATAACTAAGAACTTAATGTATATATATATTTAGACTTTGTCAAGCTCTTATTATTATTAGAAAACATAATGATTGATTTATTATCACAAAATAATTTTAGCGGTCTTTCAATTCTATTTAGAATTTATAAACCTATGACAAAATTCTCTAATCAAATTTCATGATTTGATACCTT